GCGTCCGCATGAAGACGCGCGTCGCCCAGAAAACTGCAGCCCGTAAGTCTTAACCGTGTATCAAGCCTGTGGGTCGTTCCAGTTCATGTATACTGACGCATCTTCTTTATGTGCCTCGTTTTTTTACAGATGTCGCGGAGATGTGCCGCAAGTTTTGGCAGTACGTGCGTGATAGGCGGCGTGAGCGCGGCATCGAGACTACGTGGATCATCAACGCCGACCAGACGCCGCTGTGGCTGGAGATGCCCGCCACCACCACCGTGGAACAGACAGGCGTGCGGTCGGTGCCCATCCGGAGTGCGGGATACCAGAAGGAGCGCGTCACCGTGATGCTGGCGTGCACGGCGGATGGGGAGAAACTCAAACCATGGGTTTTTTTCAAGCGCAAGACAGTGCCGAAGGGAGATTTCCCGCCCGGTAAGAAATTGCACTTTAAATGGGTTGATTCGTTGCTTTACTAAATCGTCGCTAACCACCCTGCCCGTGTATCATTGTGCAGATGTCGTCGTCGCCTGCCACGAGAACGGGTGGATGGACGCCGAAGGCGTCATCCGATGGCTGGAGGAGTGCGTCCAACCGTTTCTTAGGCCTCGATTCGGTGGTGGTCCTCGACTCCTACCGCGGTCACCTCACCCAAGGGGTCAAGGACAAGTTCGCCGAGCTCAACATCGTGCCGGCGGTGATCCCGGCAGGCTGTACGGCGGAGATTCAGCCGCTGGACGTCTCTATCAACAAGTCGTTCAAGGCCTCCGTCCGCCAGCAGTACCAGAAGTGGTTTGAAGACGAAGGCCAAGAGCGACTGACAGCAGCAGGTAAGCTTACATAGAAGAACTACAGTCGTTCCTTGACATGCTCTCGTGAACCGTTTATTAAAACTGACGAGAGTGATGTGTCTCTGCCTGTTGGTGCAGGGAACCTCAAGAAGCCGCCTCCTGCGGTGGTAGTGAAGTGGATCTCGCGGGCATGGAAGGCAGTGCCCGCGGACCTCATCAAGCGCGCCTTTCTCACCTGTGGCATCAGCAACGCTCTTGACGGCAGCGAGGACTCGCTTGCCATGGCGCACAGGCGAAGCCAGCTGACTCGTGAAGTCGATGTCGATGACGACATCATCGCTGACGGCTTCTTTGGCAACAACTGCCAGGAGCCCGAGTCTGACGAGGAGGAGTAGGTAGCTAGGCTGTAGTCGGACTTGAGTAGCTGGTTCAACCTGAGTAGGCTGTTGTGTATGAACCTTGAAATTGATAGGGTGAAACAACTCTTGTTAGGAATTGTTTAAAAAATGTAATGTTCTGTGAAATTAGATTGATAAGTAGATAACAGACTTTGCACATGCGCTTATAATAAGTTCAGACCTGAAAAGGGGTGCGCTTCTAATCGAGGATCCTCTATAAGCGCCATGCTCCAGATAGAAGCGCCGGCGCCTTTAATCGGACGGCGCTTATATCCGGGGCCATACGGTACTACCTTGTGTTGATACTACAACTTCATTGTGCAGGCGTTTAGATAATTATTAGAGCAGAGGATGCTATTTTTTGCCAATACCGATACTACTATGGCAACCTGAATTATAGTGGAAACTGTTCATGGGTATGCGTAGCTTTTCATGTATTGCAGTATTGTATGAGAAATAAAATCAGTAAGGTGTGTTGATTATGTAAGATGAAATAATTCACTAGAAATGGAAAACAAATTATATGGGAAACTCAGCAGTAATGATTTTGGATTCGCTAATAGACTGGATACTTAAAACGAGCACGAAAATTAACCTAATTTTGAATTCTAAATTTCAGGTCGTAATAATAACCGATTATGAATACAACGCATGTAATCTGCAGCACAAAGTGTATTATATACGATTTATTGCTACAGTCTCTAGCATCAATGACGTTTATCGGGAGTACTGTTAACACGTGTGGCATAAGCCACCGAATTGGATCGCTTCCCACTTCACTGGAAAACCAATGTTCGGAATCCCCAACCGAAATGTTCGGGGCACTCGGCCAATCCCGGGAGTTCCCGAACCAAACAATCGAATCTAGACGATTGGTTCCGAAAGTTTTGGGAGAGACCCACACGCGGTCTGCTCGAAAAGCATAATGACCGGCAACCTTGAACATACTTTCGAAACAGGTACCCCAAAGCAACTTCCGAAGTATGTTCAGAGCAGGATTTGGGTACTCGTTTTTCGGATGCTCAAGTCAATGAGTGACCTAGTCAGTGAGTGACCTAGTCAGTGAGTGACCTAGTCAGTGAGTGACCTAGTCAGTGAGTGACCTAGTCAGTGAGTGACCTAGTCAGTGAGTGACCTAGTCAGTGAGTGACCTAGTCAGTGAGTGACCTAGTCAGTGAGTGACCTAGTCAGTGAGTGACCTAGTCAGTGAGTGACCTAGTCAGTGAGTGACCTAGTCAGTGAGTGACCTAGTCAGTGAGTGACCTAGTCAGTGAGTGACCTATCCTCAGACTGACTGACTCAATCTGTGACTGACTTAGCGTCTACTGCCCTAGTATATAAGCGGCCTAGCTTGTTCCCCTGCTTTCCGTGGGATGTGAGTGGTTTAGGTTGTAACTGATCTAGCCTGTATGTGATCCAGCTGCTTGTGACTTGCCTAGCTTGTGATTGACTAGTGGCCTTTTTCTTTTTTTGATTGGATTAGCCTGTGACCACCAACAAGCAAGATGGTTTTGCTGTCATATTTTCTGAACAGTAGCTAGAACCTCCAGGTCACTTAAAAGCCATTCCAATCTCTCTCCTTACCACCGATGAGCCCTCCCGACCCGATGAAATCCCTCACCCCATGATACTGTGGTCTGATTTTTGGGTCAGCAATGGCCGAATCGAGCCCGACTTGCTGCTACCTGCTTCTTCTCAGTTTGCTCGTGTCATGGCCGAGCCGATCCCGGCGTATGTTTTTTTAGAATTCTCAAAAAACATATGCCCGACTTGCTGCTACCTGCTTCTTCCCAGTTTGCTCGTGTCATGGCCGAGCCGATCCCGGCGTATGTTTTTTTAGAATTCTCAAAAAACATATGGCCGACTTGCTGCTACCTGCTTCTTCTCAGTTTGCTCGTGTCATGGCCGAGCCGATCCCGGCGTATGTTTTTTTAGAATTCTCAAAAAACATATGCCCGACTTGCTGCTACCTGCTTCTTCTCAGTTTGCTCGTGTCATGGCCGAGCCGATCCCGGCGTATGTTTTTTTAGAATTCTCAAAAAACATATGGCCGACTTGCTGCTACCTGCTTCTTCTCAGTTTGCTCGTGTCATGGCCGAGCCGATCCCGGCGTATGTTTTTTTAGAATTCTCAAAAAACATATGCCCGACTTGCTGCTACCTGCTTCTTCTCAGTTTGCTCGTGTCATGGCCGAGCCGATCTCGACGGGAAGACGAGCATGTCCGGCATATGGGTCACAATGAATGCCCGGGCTGGGGAGACTCTCTGCAAGCTGTCGGGCTCGCCACTAGCCTTGCTACTCGCAAGCCACCCTGTCTCTCCGACCTCAACCAACGGAAGGGTGACTTGGATGCATCAGATCTGACTTGGCAATCGCCTCAACCAGCACGACCGAGTCGCACTGGTTTCCCATCAGCCCCATCGTCTCAAGTAGACCGGGCACTCTGAGAGCCAAGTTGGATTCGAAGCTATGTTGCAGAATGACTTTAGAATTTGTCCGTCTCGGCTCAACAAGCACCTCAAACGGCTGAGTCACCTCTCAGCCCTTTGCTCACTCACACTATCGCCTTCACTACATTCTTCTCCCGAGTCCATACTTTCAGGTCCTCTAGTCGTTTGCTCGCCAAGGCTTCCCTCTCCTGTCTGATTGTGGTAAGAAGAAATAAGCTAGTGAAGCACCCATCGAAGAACGTGGTTCTATCCAATGTGAGGATGTGTGTTCAGCTGGTGAGGTTGCACTCTACATGCCCGACAGGCTGAGCTGAGCTCTTGGCCTTGTGGTCCCTACTCACATCCTCATGCAGCAGCCCATTGCTGCATTTCTCCTCCCGTTTTCTGTCCCAGCCTGTTCCTGTTGGCCTACCTGCTTGTTGCAACCCTCACACCTCACTTATCTCCGTTGATGTTAAGGTGTGGGTGGGAATGTCAGTATCTGTTTACACAATGAATGCACAACCCGTCCACCTTTGCTTTTCTACTTCTCTTTTTTTTCACCTCCTTTCTCTTGCACGGCATTGCCTTCTCAGCAACCGTTGTTCTGCTGCTACTGTTGTTGCCGGGACTTTAAGCCTGCTATGTTCCTTCGGCTCACTTCATTTGAGTAACTGTACATCACCTCCATAGCAGCCCCCTCTGTTCTCCCCTTCAACCTGCTCATCTTCGCTCTTGTTTGACTTCTCTGGTGCCTCTCACTGGTTTGCCTGCTGTTTTGCTTCCGTTTCACTCATTTTTTTAAATTTCCACCTTTTCCTACTTTGTTGACCTGCTATTCGTGTTCTTTCTGGTGCGTGAGTCGGGGTTAACCACTTCACATCACTGCCTGTCCGGTCGTTTCCGGCTTGTGACTCATAAACCAGAGTCTGCAAGTCTCCGTCTTTCACCCTATGCATTCATTTCTGCCTTGCTGCGACCATTTGGTAGTCCTTGCTTGCGTGTCTCGTGCCTTTCGTGCTTCTACTCCTCTCTTTTCCTCCTCCTAGCCTTCCCTTCCCTTGTTGAATTGCTGTCCGACTTCATGCCAAATGCACGTGTCCGATCTCTAATACGTTCAGATTAGCTCTCTATATCTTGTCCTCAGACCCCCGTTGTTTTCTGCTTTCTCGTACACACGTCACGGCCTTGACCCACACGAGTATGTGATTGGTCCTGTTTGCGCACTGCACTGACCCCTTCTTCCTCTTTGGTTTTGCGTTTCGCCTTTTTACGAAAACATTCAACCCAGCACAATTAGGCGTATCTGCTTTCTGCAGTCTGGAGTGAAAAAGACAGTTGGACAAAACGATCAGCCACTTATTGAAGGAGGGTCGTTTGAGGGGAGTGACTGTATGCAATGGCTGGTGAGGGAGTGACGACTGCAGTGAATGAGTTGATCAGAGAGGCTGTGCTGGCAGCAGTGAGAGAGGAGCTGGCTGCACACAAGGAGGAGGTGGATGAGCTGCGGCACAAGTTGACAGCAGTGCAGAGGGAGTTGGCTGCGGTGAAGGGGGAGTTTGCAGCGGTTAAGGGGGAGTTGTCAGTGTTGAAGGGGGAGTTGGTAGTGGTGAAGGGGGAGTTGGTGGAACACAAGGACGCTATGGCAGGGAAAGTGGTTGAGAATAGTAGGGCATCGGTTGGAACAGGGCTGGGAGGGAAGAGTAGAAAGAGAAAGCAAGAACTCACAGCGAATGTTGCACGGGAGGAGGAGAGGAGGGAGGTGCAGGCGTTGAATCAGCCGCGTGCCATGGAGGACCTGGCGGCCTCTAAGGAAGGGCCGAAGAAACGAAACCTGAAACTGAACGTTGCGCTGCAAATCAAGCAGAGTAAAGGCGATCAGTAGACGGCATGGAAGGTGAGTTTTGAGTGATTTGTAGCACACTGGACGCATTGCTTGCTATTTTGCCATCCATTCCCTTGCTATTTTCTCTTCATCCTTTTTTTCCTGCACAGCCTCTCAGATGGTCACTCCTTGGCTTATCATCCATGCCCTCTTCATCCATCACCTCCAGGTGATCCAGTCAGCATCACGACGAGCAGAATTGAGTTTGAGGAATCGCCAAGGCGTCTCGGATGCCATGCTCGGGCATGTGTCCACCATGACGCGTCTCAAGGGCATTGTATTGGAATCTAGCTCGGGCTTCAGTGCAGAGGGCATCAAGCACCTCTACAGGCTGCCACAGCTGGAGAGGCTAGACCTCTCATGCACAGACGTGTCAGACAGTGCCTTGGAAGGCATTGGGTCCTTGACCAGTAAATCTCAAAGAGCTCGAACTCATTAAGACCAATGTTACGGATGCTGGCCTGGCGCACTTGACAGGCCTCTCCTCTCTCATACTGTTGTGGCTTTCTGCGTGCAAGGGGGTGACAAATGCGGGCATGGTGCATGTAGGGAAGCTGACAGGGCTTATGCATCTTTGGCTGCATGGCACGGCAGTCACGGATGATGGGCTGCAGCAGCTGACTGCCCTGACCAACCTGAGAGATCTCCCTAGATAGAAGGGAATCGTCTGAGTACGGTAATTGGCACAGGCAGTTAGGCAGGCAGGGTGGCAGGGAGTGATGATGGAGAGGGAGGTTGTGAAGAGTGAGGGGAGGAGGCATGCGGAGGATTGAGGCATGGAATGGTGATTATGCACGGCTGCATGCTGCAGAGAGGTGGAGAATGGTCAGAACCTGTGGCTTTGCAGTTGTACAGCAGCAGGTGCAAGGCTGGTTGGGCAAGAGACCGCTCTGTGGATGTGGGGAGGAGGCTACATGAGCTGCCTCGCTGTGGCTGAAGGAGGCTGTACAGATGCTCTTCACATAGAGAGTGCAGGGCATGTGCATGACGGAATCAAGCTGCTGCACTTTTGTTGTACTAGTGAGTATATTAACACCCATGTACCTGAACGATGGATCGTGTTTATTTCATTTGCACTGTATGGGGCAGGTGTATGAGGAATGGGGAAAGAAAACGTACTGATTCAGACCATAGTACTTTGACAATGATATTTAAAACCATTGTGTTAATTTGGTGATGTCCCTCCTCTTCAATAGATGACACCAGTCAACCAGTTCCTTCAGCATAACCACATTGGATGGCCTGAACGTATCGGCTGAGAGGAATGGACAGGTCACACTGGACGGAACGCAGAGGTGAAGCTGAAATAGTTGGATCCAGAGTATTGATGTGGAAAAGGCATTTGTGTTCTGTTGTGGGGAAAAGCACGCATGTTGATGCGCACTTGGACTGATTGTGTTTTTCCCCACCTTACAATCATCCCCTACCCCTCAGCACTTGTTTCTTACACCACCTAAGGTTGTCCACCTCCCCCCACAGGCTGCTGTGAATGGCAGCAGGCTGTGCTGTGGACACAGTGAGTGCCGACTTGAATCTCTGAAATGGACACTTTGGAGTGCCATGCAGAATTTGAAAGACTTGCATTTTGTCCAAGATCACAGGAGCATGCGGCATCATGGATACATGGCCGACAATGGCATCTGAGAAGGCACCGAGGCTCAACATGTTCGGATCGGACTTCTGTGATGCTGCCTTGATGATTTGAAAAAAATATGCGAAAAGGGAAAACATGGCAAAGAAATGAGTGGATGACCTTGGTGGTAAGAAACAGGTGGCAAGCAATGTATGCCCCGTGGAACAGCCCGCAAAGCACTCACCTGCCATGCAGTCTTTCCATCGCATCGCCCACACTCTGCCTGATGTTCTGTTCCAGATTCACCTTCAGGTCTTGTACCATGTGCCCCACCCCTTGACGGCTGTCATGGCACAGGCACATTGTCAATCAACTCTTGCTCCCCCAGCTGGGCCCAGCAGGGCGGGCGCAGCTCCTCCTGCGAGTGGGCGAACCTGCAGTTGCTCACGTATGGGCACACGCCTTTCTGGAACTTGACGCACATCTTTGTGCAGTAGAACATGCGCAGCCAACCACCAGGGCCGTTCGCTGGGCCTGAGCGGGGTGCTCCTGGTGGTATACCACCTGTTTCTGGGTCTCCTCTGCCCATCCCAGCGCCTACTCCGCCCCCCCCTGAACCTGCCCCTGTGCCTCCCCCTACACCGGCCCCAATTCCTCCCCCACCTCCCTCGCCGCCTCCCACTCCCCCTCCACCCATGCCGCCAGACATTCCCCTTATTCCCCCTCCTCCATCTCCCCATCCGCCAGGCCCGTCCATTCCCCCTGGATCAGGGCCATATCCATGTTCATCCCCATTTTGCCCGCTCCACCCATTCCCATCCCCATGCCCCCGCCCATACTCCGTCCCATGCCCATGTTCCCCATGTTCCCCATGTTCCCCATGTTCCCCATGCCCCCATCCCGACCATACCCCCCATTCCCCACCCGCCTCCGCCTCCGCCTCCCCCTCCCTGCGCGCCCCCATTCATGCCAGAACCCATGCCTGCACCCATACCTCCAGGATCCATACCAGGCCCCCACCCTCCCCTACCTCCAGGCCTGGCTATGCCTCCCATGCCAGGTACGGATCCCGCCTGCACGTCACATTCCGCCCATGCAAGCTCTGCTGTCATTTCTTGCCTCCTCTTTCTACTCTTCCCTCTCAGGCCTCTCGCATCTGATGCCCCACAACTCTCAGCCAATCGCTCTGCCATAGCCTCCTTGTTTTCCGCCAACTCCCCCTTAACCACTGCCAACTCCCCTTCAACCACTCCCAACTCCTCTTTAACCACTGGCAACTCCCCCTTAACCGCTGGCACCCATTTAAACACTTCCAACTCCCCTTTAACCACTGCCAACTCCCCCTTCACCACTTTCAACTCCCCCTTCACTGCTGTCAGCATGTGCCGCAGCTCATCCACCTCCTCCTTGTGTGCAGCCAGCTCCTCTCTCACTGCTGCCAGCAACGCCTCCTCGATTGACTCATTCACTGCAGTCGTCACTCCCTCGGCAGCCATATCATCCACTCACTCACTCCCCTCAAACAACACTCGTTCAAAAACTGGCTGATCCCGTTGTTCAACTGTTTTTCGAACAGGAGACTTGCGAAAGCAAACAAGCCTGAGAAGGGCAGGGTTGAGTGTCGTCAGAGAAACCAGAACGTGAAAACAAGAGGGGGAAGAGGCATGGTCAGTAAATACGCGACAAACAAGACCGATAGCATGGGCGTGAGGGAGGAGGCAGTGATGTGAGTAAGGGAGCAGGTAAGTATTAGCAGAAGAGGGAGACTTGACTGGCAATAAAAGGGCTGGCACACAGAGGGCTGGCACACAGAGGGCTGACTGGTGCACAGGTGGTGTAGTGTCAGTCACATAAAGTGAGCTGAACGAGCAGAGCAGCAAGAAAGTCCCAGGTACAACGGTGATAAGGTAAGGGCAAGGTAATTCTTGACATAATGGATAGAAGGTAGTAAAAGAGCGAGGGGAGTGAAAGAGGACTAGGAGAGCGAAGACGGTAGTAATGGTTTATACAGTGATGTATGTATGCGCCACCTGTTGACATCAGTGCATGAAGGTGAAGGTCGCAAAAAGGTGAAGTTCTACAGCAGCATGAAGTGGCCCTCCCACCTCTACTCGTTACCACAGTCACGCATGAGAGGGAAGGCGGAGCAAGCACACGGCACGATGAAGAAATGGTAGCGATTTGTCAAACAACACCGTTTACAAAATGGCTCGAAAGGCAACTCATCTCGTACGCAGCCATTTGCTCCCATTTGGCTCAAGGCGCATAAGCGTGGCCAACCCCACCTCGGCGAGCTGGTTGGTTCGAGAGAACAGGGCAGGTCGTAAACCAGTGTGACTCAACTCAAATTGGGTGGCATTCCTTCTCTCTTATGCCAATAGCCAAAGTCAGATCTGATGCTTTTTCATGCTCTTGTCTGCAGGCTGGCGGGTGCAGAATGCTATGCAGATTTGCCTGGTATCAGGTGTGAAGTGAAATGACACACTTCTGCTGGGGAAAATGAGCCCATTTTGATAGGGCACTCTCATCACACCTATTCCAGGTTCCCATTTAAAAATCACCTCTTTCCCTTGAGGTTTCATATGCTTTTCATGCTATTCTGTACAGGCTGATTCTGGCAATTATGTGCAGAATGCCCTGGAAACAGGTTTCTTGTGAAATGACCCACTTCTCCTTGGGGAAACGAGGTGATTTTCATACTGGACTCTCAACACACCTATTCAAGAGCCCCATATAAATTTTAGAATTTTCCATGAAGGTTTGGCTGGGTTTCCATGCTCTACTCTGCAGGCGGGTGCAGATTCCTGTGCAGAATTGCCTGGAATCAGATTTCATGTGGAAGGACCCCTTTCGCCTTGGGAAAATGAGCCCATTTTGATAGGGCACTCTCATCACACCTAGAAAATGTGCCCATCCAGTTTTCATATCATTTCATCAAGGTTTGCTATGGTTTTCATGCTCTTGTCTGCAGGCTGGCGGGTCCAGAATGCTATGCAGATTTGCCTGGGATCAGGTGTGAAGTGAAATGACACACTTCTGCTGGGGAAAATGAGCCCATTTTGATAGGGCACTCTCATCACACCTACTCCAGGTTCCCATTCAAAAATCACCTCTTTCCCTTGAGGTTTCATATGCTTTTCATGCTATTCTGTACAGGCTGATTCTGGCAGGTATGTGCAGAATGCCCTGGAAACAGGTTTCTTGTGAAATGACCCACTTCTCCTTGAGGAAACGAGGTGATTTTCATACTGCACTCTCAACACAACTATGCAAGAGCCCCATATGAATTTCAGATTTTTCCATGAAGGTTTGGCTGTGTTTTCATGCTATACTCTGCAGACGGGTGCAGAATTCTATGCAGAATTGCCTGGATTCAGGTTTCTTGTGAAATGGCCCACTTCTCCTTGTGCAAACGAGGTGATTTTCATTGTGCACTCTCAACACACCTAGGGCTGACCCCCATATGAAATTCGGATTTTTCAATGAAGGTTTGCATGTGTTTTCATGCTCTCCTCTGCAGGTGGGTGCAGAATTCTATGCGGAATTGCTTGGATTCAGATTTGTCTTGTGAAATGACCCACTTCTCCTTGTGCAAACGAGGTGATTTTCATTGTGAACTCTCAACACACATATTTCTGACCCCCATATGAAATTCAGATTTTTCCATGAAGGTTTGCATGTGTTTTCAAGCTCTCCTCTGCAGGTGGGTGCAGAATTTTGTGCAGAATTGCCTGGTTTCAGGTTTCTTGTGAAATGACCCACTTCTCCTTGAACAAACGAGTTGATTTTCATTGTGCACTCTCAACACACCTATTTCTGACCCCCCATATGATATTCAGATTTTTCCATGAAGGTTTGCATGTGTTTTCATGCTGTCCTCTGCAGGCGGGTGCAGAAATCTGTGCATAAATTACTCGACCTTAATTCCGTGTTTTATGGCCAGTATTTCTACGTGTGCTTTTGAGCCCATACTGCTGGTGCACACATTCCACATAGCCAGCTCTCCCCCCTACGTAATTTGTTTTTTCCTGATTATTGGTGGGTTTCCAAGTTCTGCTTATTTACAGCTTATGTTAGATACAGGGGATAAACCACCAAGCACTGTACGTCCGACGCGAGTACCCCTATAGCGACACTGAGGGATCGAGGCGCTCGTTCGGTTTCTGACGCGTGTGACACGTCGCAGAGGTTGCGCTAATTCCTCGTTTCGGCGGGACCCATGCAGAAGAGATAGTTATACGTGGCAGCCTGTCATGAACCTGTCACATGGCATGATTTTTTTTTCTCAACCGGTCTGCCCGTGGTCATCTCCTACGAGGTCGAGGCTAAGCTCAGACCATGCACTGCACCGCATAAGATTAGAAGTGCTTACATGGCAGATAAGGTTGGAGAACAACCAACCAGCAAAAGACGCAGAACATTTAGGGACGCACTCTCTCGACAACTTGACCAATCAAAGCGTCCAGGCTGCATTGAGTGGTTCGCATATGCTCGAACAGATCTCGTGCCGAGGGTTTTTTTTTAACACATTGTGCAGAACAGCCCTCCCACGCATGGCGATTGTAGAAAACCGCTTCCCGCCTTCAGAGAGGACGTTAGCACAACCTGCTCGACCTGTGATTCTGGGTTGATATCAGAGTAGGAGCACCACAGCTGCTTGCTCATTCTCGCCATTCCAATCGGAGTCTTGGCTCCACGACTAGCCCCTCACACCGTTCCCTCTCTTTGTAGGGTAGGCCTAGTAAGTAGTCGTAGGACTGTGTATGGTAGCAACCGTATACCTCCCTGGACGTCTCTCATACACGATGTCGTCCCAGTTAAAAACAGAGGGCTGCGGATTGTCTGTACGACTAGGGAGAGAGTCCTATGAAATGTTAATCGCTCGTCAGGAAGAGTGGAACGAGGCGTTATTGCTCTTCGGCCTTGTGTAAGTATATTAGCGCGGTTTATTACGCACGCCGACTTCTTCGAGATGTTACCTTTACTGTCTGGTTTAGGGTTGCCCAGCTATCTTCTAAACCATCTCGACATGTCGGCTTGGATGCAAAGAGGTAGCCAAGGAGAAGATCCGCGATCCTCGTGTGCGCCGAGCCATAAAGATAGTGGCTTCTACAGAGCATCAGCGCTTGAGGTCTGCCGTCCCGCGTGTCCCCAGTTCCAACAGCGACCAACGGTCGTTGTTGGACTATCAGATGGTTTTAATACCAATGATAACAGAGTGAGTCTCATTACATGGATCCGCAACGTCGAACGATTACACCAGCTCATCATGCTAATCCTAAACGCTGATGTATTGCAGTGTCCCTGTTGTAGATTCGAGAGCGATCAGTCTCATGGTGCTGCTGAACCCGCAAGATTTGTTAGCAGATCCCCGCGGAGAGTACCGTACGCGTGTGCTACACTTCGACCCTAAATCTGCTATCCGTTCCCATCGCCACACCGACTATGCCAAGGAGGTGTTCGAGTCAGTTTCAATCTGTTGCCCGTTCTGCGGGTTGCTGCTTCAGCCCATAGAGGGCCTTCTTCAGCTTCCACACTCTGCCGCTGCCATCGTCAAACCCCTCTGGCTGCGCCATGAAAATCTCCTCCTCGAGGATTCCGTTGAGGAACGCCGTTACGATGTCTAGCTGCTTCACCACCCAACCTTTGATCGCGGCTCCCGCGAGTAGGGTTCGCAGCGTCGTCGGCTTCACCATAGGAGCAAACAGCTCCTTGTAGTCCACATTCTCCTTCTGCTGGTACCCCTTGGCCACCAGCCTAGGCTTTAGCGCTCGATCACGCCGTCGGCATCCGACTTGATCTTGAAGAGCCACTTGGACGTAATCGCCGTACGCCCCTCCGGTAGCTCCACCAATTCGTACGTGTCGTTCTCCTCAATGCTCTTCAGCTCACTTTCCATTGCCTTCTTCCACTCCTCAGCATCACTACTCTCCAAGGCTTCCTTGAGAGTTGCTGGTTCTCCCGGCATCTCCACCGGAGAGAAGAACGCGAAGGCACACTCCTCGTACTCGCTCTCCTCGTCGTCTCCGACCATCATTGCCGCTCCAGCTAGGGCCGTCTTGCCCTGCTTCCCCGGCGCATCATAGGTCAGCCTATTAGGGGGTTGAACTCTCCTCGTTCCCCTTCCCTTCCTCCTCAGCTGCAGGGACTTGAAGGCCTTGGCGCTGCTGCGGTGTGGTGCGGTTCCGTGGAGCGCTCGTAGTGCGGGAAGGGAGCGTCGGTGCACGCTCGCTCACTTGCTGCACATCTTCCTCTTCTTCCTCTGCATCCTTGGCCTCCTCTCCCCCATTCACAAGAGAAGATTGCCTTGTGGTGGTGCTGCCGCTGCTCAGCTCCAAAGGCAGCTCCACGTGCTCCAAGCCGGAACTCTTCACCTCTCCAAACCGCACGCCTATCTTCGCCTCATTCTCCGCCTTCCAATCCTTGTACATGAAGTTCTCCATGAACTTGCAGTCCCTGCTCACCATGAACTTCTTGGTGAATGGGTCCCAAAGAA